AAAAAAAAAAATCCTTACCATATCATACAGCAGCAAACGAATTAGCACGAAACAAACAACATGAATCCGACAGCAGGTGACTTAGACACGACTATAAATGGATAGGATATGGACTAATAATACCAGAAGTTGTCATTTCCAGAGGGCCACATGAGGTTTGTGAAGCTTTGAACTCCGTCAAGAGTGTTTGCATCTGCAATCGCCAAACTCTCGTGGATTGGAAGATGAGCCAGTTGGCCAACATATCCATAGTAAACCTTGTCGGACCAGTTCTGGGACTTAGTTTTTGTAGGAAGATCAAACAACTCTTTCAATTTATTAAAGACTTCATTGTTAAGCTCTGCAGAAACCTTATCATATAGAGCTATGAAAGAGCCGTACTCTTTGATGGCACGCCGGACATCGCTGCGTGCCGAGAGCCATGAGTTTGTGTCAGGCTTCAAGTTTTCCATGGTGAAATCTATGATAGGAAGGTTGGAAGAGTTTGGGAAGCCATATGATTTTATAGACTTTGTTTTTTTATTTTTTTGGGACTTTTTTACACTAAGCCAGCTAAAACGCTCACGTTTATATAGAGTTCAATGGTGGAGAGCTCAATGATTTTAATATAAGTGTTAATTGAGCCGAGATTGTCAGAGTTTGAGTTTTTTCTAGAAGATCTACGGACATCAGGTAGGTGTACACTGATCTACTTATGATTCTATATTCTCCTTATCTTCTTCACCCCTTTTCAGGACAATATTTTCAATCAATTCATCTAAGTTGACAAACTCAGAATTCTTTTGATCTATCTCTGTGACATCTGACACTACAGTTGACCTGTCTTTGTACATAACCTGTTCATTAAATATCACATTTTTACTTCTGATGATTTTCTTGTTCTGTTCATCCCAAAAATGATAGCCAAATTTCTCATCACCATAACCAATGAAAAAATATATTCTAGACTTTGCATCAAGTTTAGTACAAGCATTAGAATCAATATGAACATATGAAACACAACCAAAAACTTTTAAATAGGAAAACTTTACTTCTTTACCACTCCATACCTCTTCAGGAAGTCTGAACTCCATGGGAATTAAAGGTCCTCGGTTTATCAAGTAAGCTGCAGTACTAACAGCATCAGCCCAAAATGTCTTTGGTAGTCCAACATACAACCTCATACTCCTAGAACGCTCATTGAGAGTTCTATTCATGCGCTCAGTCATACTATTTTGCTGTGGTGTCCCAGGAATGGTTTTCTCCATCCCAATCTCATGTGCAGCACAATAGTTGTTGAACCCTCCATATATGTACTCTCCTCCATTGTATATATGTACTCTCCTCCATTGTCTGTCGTCAAACATTTTACTTTCAAACCTGTTTCTGTCTCAACCATAGCCTTCCACTTCTTAAAACTATAAAATACATCAAATTTATTTTTCAGAAAATAAACTCATACCTTTCTGCTTGAGTCATCAATGAAAGTGATGTAATACCTTAAACCCCCAAGGGATACACCTGGGGAAGGCCCCCACAAATCCGTGTGTACTAACTCCAATTTTTCAGCCTTTGGTGTTCTACCAGTTTTCAAGAAGCTCACTTTTTTTTGCTTTCCTAAGATGCTGCTTTCACACATGTCAAAATCAACAGACTTTAATTCTGGTAGTTTTCCCTTTGACAGCAGTATCTTCATCCTTTTCTCACTCATGTAACCAAATCTGCGATGCCATAAGCTTGTATTAGTATTTGCTTCAGCGACTGCAATTGTGTTTCTTGGACTTGAGGTCATATATAGAGTGCCAGTCTTCTTTCCACGAGCCAATATTTTGGCTCCCTTTGTGATCTTCTAAGTACCACCAACAAACAATATAGCATGCCCTTCATCATCAAGTTGCCCAACAGAAATCAGATTCCTCCTCAGGTCAAGAATATGTCGAACCTTCTCCAGTAACCAAACAGACCCATTGGACAATGATATTCGGATGTTTCCCATACCCATAACATCCAAGGTTGTATCATCAGCCAAATACACCTTACCAAAATCACCTGCAACATAGTTCTGCATGATTTCTTGGTGTGGAGTAGTATGAAATGAAGCTCCTAAGTCCAAAATCCAATCATCAAGTAAACTGTCTACTACAAGAAGTAATACATCTTGTACCTCTTCCGTTACAGCATTAGCAGAATCATCTTCATTCTTTTTCTTAAGACTTTTGCATTGCCTCTTAAAGTGACTCATTTTTTTACAATTCCAGCATTTTGCTTGTTGGTCTGATCTAGATTTACTTCTGTTCCGATTAGAATTTTTGGATTTTGATCTGCCTCGATTTGAATTTCTGTCATTACCTCTGCCTCTTGTCTCAAGGTTTAGTGCAGAACCAGATCCTGAGGTTTCATCTGCATCTTTTCTGCGAATCTCCTCAGTCAGAATTAAATTTCGTATGTCATTGTACTTCAGTTTTTTCTTTCCTGTAGAATTGCTTACTGTCATCCTCATTGCCTCCCAACTATTTGGCAGAGAAGCTAAAACGATCAGTGCACGAATCTCATCATTAAAATCAATTTCTACAGCCGACAATTGATTTGTGATAGTGTTAAATTCGTTCAAATGTTGTGCTACTGATATGTTCTCTGCCATCTTCAAATTGAACAGTTTCTCCATCAGATGCACCTTATTGTTTGCAGATGACTTTTTATAAATACCAGACAAAGCCTTCATCAAATCTGTTGTAGTCTTCTCCTTTACAAAATTTCGCGCAACAGACCTAGACAGAGTTAACCCGATAACTCCCAGGACTTATTTGTCAAGAAAAGTCCAATCTTCATCCTTCATAGTCGCAGGTTTTCTCCTAGATGCGGCAGATGCAACTTCTTCTCATAAAGATAATCCTCGATTTGTATCCTCTAGAATCCAAAGTTTGTGCCATCGGACTTTTCTATTCTAGATGCCTTTCTTGCTTCCTCTGCCATTGCTCCCACTCAACCCTAAACCAAGCTCTGATACTCGTTGTTAGGAAATTCTCACGAAATTTCTAAATCTATGAGAAACAACAATAGAGAAAGCACACGCTAAAGAAAAATAATTACACGCACAAGATAATATTTACGTGGTTCGACAATTTGCCTACATTCACAAAACTGCAGGGATTTCACTATTCTCAAGAACGATTATAGAGAGGGCGACGACCGTACAAAATCAATCAACCCCAATCACTCAAAAGAAACAGGTTTTATATGACTTGCACTGGGTTACAAACAAACAGGCCAAAAAAAAATTCATGGACTAAGTCTTAAAAAATTTTCATTAAAAATCACGCAATATTTTTCAAATCGGATCATCATCCGAATTAAACATAAAAAATTAGACTCCACCAAAAACCAGCACTCCCTCCACACCGGAGATAATAAAATTTCGGCGACCCTTGTCATTCAAAATAGACGTAGGTCATATTGACCGAACTACTATAAACCTTGTCTCCTCTCTCTATACTTTATTTTATTTTATATTACTTAATTGACAGGTGGTATGCAAACTAATTTTGTGCATCATCAGATTGAACATTTTGTACTGAGCTAAGCCACACGTTGCTTGTATATCACTCGTTGCCAAGATGAGTTTAGAAATAGTTCATTATACAATTTGAAAAAAAGTCTGAATAAAGTGTTGCTTGGACCATTAAGTAACCGATGCAGGGAATTGCGTAGAAATAAGGATTTAATGAACCAAAAAGGGATAATGAAAATAAATTGTTGACTTATGCACAAATATCGATTTAGATGCATTCGTCCGCAAATCAACGATTTATTTTTATTATCTCGTTTTCGTTCATTAAACCCTTATTTCTATCTTCTTCCCTGCATCATCAGTAACACTAGCCTTTAATGGTGGGCGATTGAAATTTAGGCAAATCGGGAGTATCGAAATTGGTGTTTTTGGGCAATAACAAGACAATTTATGCAAAGATTAGATAAGGCAAGTAAACACATAAACATAAGAATTGTCATATTTTAAGACTAAGAGTTGGTGGCTCATATTAAATTATTGGACTTTGGTTTGGTATCTTATGTAAAATGTTTTCATTCATCACACCTAAGAGTGAGTAGGTATTCTTGTAATGTATAAAAAGAGGCAGCAAACGGATCTTTGGAGGTAAGGGAATGGGAGGGTGGTGCCTATTAAAAGTCAACCCATTGATACTGACAGAAAAATTAATAAAAAGTTAACTCAAGGGCCACATTACAATATTTTTGATATATTGAGAATGCAATGTAAAAAATTTAATCTTTGAGGGTACAAAATAAAAAATTTGAAATCTTTCGACGTACAAAGTACAATTCTCCCTTGTTTTTACTTAAATTTAAGTTTGAATTAGGATTTGAGATTTTTAATCATCGGATTTCACTCTCCTTTAAAGAATTAATGGTCTTAATTCACCTTCTTTTAAATTTGAGTTCTTGATCCATGGAAAAGTTCGTATCAAATCAAACTTTTTACTCAAATTTAAGTCAAAATTGAAGATGATCCAAGAAAGATGGTCTATGACACAAAACAATGCTAAAACAATGAATCGACTCAGTCTACGTTTTATTATATCTTAGAGGAAAATTTATTCCGGTCTGTATGGAGGAAAAAGATGTTGTCAATGGTGAAAATAACTTATCACCATCCATTGAAGCCAGTTACCAGTCCTATTATTTCCCATAGTAAGGAAACACATCATTTTCTATTGCCATGGAGGTCATACTGTTCTTTTTTATTCATTGATGTTGAAAGAATTAGTAATAAAAGTATCGGAATGACCGCATTGAAACAATATTAAAGTAGGGAAGAATCGTAAATTACTTCTGGTGATTTTCTTCCACGAAACTATCAAATTTCAAGTGAACTTGTAGTCTCTAATAATTTTATGTAATGCGACCATGAGAATAAGATCATATTAAAGTGGCGAGGAATGACATGTACTTACGGTTATAATTGGTGTAATTATTTAGAATCCTACTATTGTTATTAACAACAGTGATAAAAATACTCATAAATGTGGTAAAAATATATTTTATTGTATGAACCCATATTGTATAATTAAATAAACCAAAAAATTTTTAAATTAGAAAATAAAAAGGGTAAATTACATCTACCTCCCCTGAAGTTTGATCAAATAACAACTAGACCCCTTCTTGTTTGGAAACTAACAATGTCCTCCCTTGTCAGTGACGTCCATCCTTTACGAATAATGGAAACTCTAAAATGACTATAATGCCCTCCTACTTGAACTGTGAAATATTCATAATACTCCCTCAATAAAATTCTTAATTGGCATTTAAAAAAAATAAATTGCTTGCATCATTAAGTTCTTGGCGTTTCCCTCACGTTTCACTAACGGTGGGGGAATCTGTTACAAATAACTAAAGTAGAGGGGAGAGCAGTGTTATTTCTTAAATAAGAGAGGGTCTAGTTGTTATTTAATTAAACCTCAGGGAGGTAGGTGTATTTTACCCAAGGAAAAAAGAAAGACTCTCCAAACCCTCTAATCGCTAATTTGTTTATTTTGTATAATAGTACATATTGTAGGTACTGAGTTACACAATGCATTATGTATTAGGTAGTTTAGAACAAGTAAAATAAGTCCCAAACATTTAGAATTAGGTGGGATTTGTGTTATTCTCCCAAAAATCATGTATAAATAGTTTATGTTGAGCGAAAAACGAGAAAAAAATACTGATTATAACAGTCATATGACATTAATATTATTATGTACTATCGCTGCTAACGCGAAACGAGCCTCTCTTTCCTTGTTGCAGCTAATCGCCTTAGTTTAGTTGAATGAGTTTTGAGAGGGGTCACCACCCTCGAAGTAAGTTCTTAATTTCTCCTTATTTTAAGTTTCTTTTTTGTCAAAAGAATTATATATAACACCTCTCCATCTTTACCACTCTTAATTATATACCATATCACATTCAAATATATTACAAAAAAGCTCAATTATTTAGTTATTTTACATAAAGTAGCAAAGGATAATGGCAGAGCCGTCTAGAAGAAGACCCACAACCACAAACACACACAAGTACACATACCTATATTCTCACACACACATTACTGATGAATTGCCTCTGAGAAAGCAGTTTCAAGCATGGATACCACAATATCTTCTTGCAGTCTTGTCAGTGAGGCGAGTCGGGTTTTCGAAATAGGACTGAAGCAGCCCAATGTTGTCAAACGACCTATACTGCAACGGATGCTCATCATCAACAATTTCAAACACAAACACAACATGATATGATACGTCTTTTTTCTAACCATGTGTTACGGAGTTTACAGTTGGGCGAATCGTATAATTGACATTGGGCATAAGTAGTTCCATATTTTCGAATGACCCAAACTGCAATGGATGTTCCTCATCAACCATCTCTTCAGGTATGTGAGTTGTTCCCTTGTTGAATGAAAACACACCTATTGTGTGTATCTTGTTTTATTCTGGCGTAATATGACTTGATGATTTGGGGAAAGTATTCGGCCATTGCTCCATGCCTACAAGAAAAGATTAAACACCTTTATAACTAAATTATAATAGATTAAACAAATTTTAAATTGGTACGACTTGTACGAGATGTGATCGTTAATAGTGACTTTCCAATAAGTATGTACCAATGAGACAAAAAAAGGTTTCTATAGGTTCTGTTTGTTCACTAGAATCACGTGAAAAAATGTTTAGAAAGATAAAAAATAAAAAATTATAAAAAAAAATAATTTTTTTTCATGCTTAAATTTTCTCACAATTAATCAAAATTTTTTTTCTTTTAAAAAACACAAGAAAATTGTTATCAATAACCTAACTTTTCATTTTATCCTTCTTTTTTTTAAAACATTCAATTAGTTATTAATCCTAAAATAATATAAATTTGGCTAGACGATCATTGTCCCAGAACTAGATTATGAGCAAATTTTTTTTGAAAAAAAATTAATTTTTAATTATAATACATATTTTTCTTCTTCTTTATACCGAGTTAACCTAATTAAGAATAATTTAGGCAATTAGAATAATTTTCTAGTAACTTTCTTTTAATTCAAACAATAGAATGTATTTTTTAAAAAACTTTTCTGTAAATTTTCTATTCTAATTAAATACATATATAAAAATATATTTTTGATCATTTTATTTTTTTTTACTTCACATTCTATATTTTTTTTTTCTTTCTAATTAAACGGATCTTATAGAAAAAATAATAATAATTACACACCATGTAAGCATCGCCGGCAATGATCACGAAGGCTTCCGGTGGGAAGTCGACGGAGATCCAGTCGCCATTCCGGGCCGGTATTTGTAAACCTTGAACCTGATTTTGACGAAGTATAGTTACAAAGCTCTTGTCCGTATGAATCGACCCCCCGGCATTGCTCTCGTTTTTTTCCGGTGCTCGATATCTCACCGGTCGGAGGAGGTAGGTGGTTGATCGGAGGTGCGAGTCATAGTTCCTCTCCACACCATAGCTTTCAAACACCATCTTGCTCACCAGTTGTTCTAATTCTGCTATATGTTTTGCATACTCTAGGATACTTTCGCTGGACAAAAATAAAATAAACAATAAATATATATATTAAGGTTACCATTAGCACTGTTATCTGACACGTAATTGGCACATAACCATAAAGACTAAAAGATTGTTTTGTAACCTTTTTGTTTTCGCTTTCGCGTCTTCAAAATAATAAAAAATAGAGACAATTTTTGTCTCTGTTTTGTGATAAATACTAAAATAAAAATATATTTGAATGTCATTTTTGTCTATCAAATTATAAAATAAAAAACAAAAAATATGTTTGATAACTAGTTCACGTTTTATCCTAAATATTCTAAATATGTTTTATAATATATCATTTTTTTAAAAAAAAAAATAGAAATTTTATTGAATGAATTCAGAAATTACAAGGATCAAACTACACCCCCTTTTTTTTTTTGTAAAAGGAAAAAATTTTATTCCCAAAAAAAATGAATTACAAGAATCAAAGAATAAGATGTTCTAAAAAATAGAAAAAAATAGCTTTAATCCTTCAAAAGGATCAAAATCATCCAAATTACAATAAAAGGCTCTTAAACTTGAACAGCTTCGTGCCTTAGATCCCCACCAGCAACAAGCTCCAGCACAAATCAACACAGCACCAGCCCAGACTGAATGCAGAAGCAGACCAGAATAGACAAAATGCTCCCAGCTGCCCAAGTCTTCTAGCTATACACCAGATGCCTGACCAAATTTTTTTATACAACCAATTTTTTTTTTCATGCAGTACCACAACACCATCTACCTATACAGCAGACTGTACCATATTGTACAGACTGAGACACTACACATCATCCCAGTTTCACAACACAACTCAGAAATCAACAAAAAAACAAAAAAAGAAATTGACTTTAATCCTTCAAGAGGACCAAAACCAATTTTGATTAAATTTCTGGTCACTAAGAGAGCACTAAATCTTACAGCATTCAAGAAGTAGTAGCTAATTTGTTTTTGGGCTCCTGGAACTATCACCGGATCCCAGACCCTCTCAAACCTATCAGTGATAGAAAAGGGATATGGTTAACTCAAATAATATAATATCATAAATAGCTTATAGATAGATGAGTAAAAATGATAACTTACATATAATGCAAATGCTCAAACCCAATACCAGATCCTAAACCAGTCAGACCAAGAAGTTGCAGTCCCCTCAGGGTCAGGATGCCACCAGAAGGAAGAAGAACCTGTGCCACAAGGGGAGAGGGGAGAAAGAGAGAATGAGCAATGTTGTTACCAAACTTACCATTGACAGAAAAGAAAAATAAAGATTGTGCAGTCTCAAATTTCCTCACCCCAGAACACAGAACCTCTCTAAATGACTATAATTTTTAATAGGACTTGACTGTATTCAATTGATATCTTCCACAAAATTCCAGAAGCTGCTATAAACAATAAGAGGTACCACAATAAAAAATTTATGAACTCGGGTGAAAATAATGATAATTAGGAGCAATTTAGAATGGACATTGATTAGTTCAAGTGGCAACAGCAAGTTACCTAATTATGATTATTTTTCAATGATCATATCATTCAGTTCACCAACACTCTCAATGGAGCCTACCAGGCCCCTTTATCTGTATGCCATAAATTTTATAATCACAAATGGTTGTCTAGGACCCATGTTTGGGCTTCTACAACTCAGATCGTGGGTCATCCGGGGAACGAAATGCACAGACAAATTTAATTCAGAATTTGGCTACCTTTACTAAACTTATAGGGAAGCATAAAAAGCTCAGGAGATCTGATCTGAATATTGCAATACAGTTTTAATAGCAAATATAATCTGGTGGAAAGAGAAGGAAAAGGATATAACTAGAGATTAAAGCAATATATCAAACTCGCTTATCCTAAGATTGTTGGAGTATAGATAGTCTAGGTTTATTAGGATTTCTTTTCCCTTTTTTACCCTTACTATGATTTTTATATTTTGCCTAAACTACAAGGATGTTTAAGTCATTCTGTATTATTTTTGGATATATATACGGGATTCTACTCTTAATTTGAGTATCCCTTTTCATTCACAACTATCTCAAGTTGGTATCAGAGCCATTAACCCTAACCCTAATTCTAACATTAGCCTCCACCAAACAACGCAACCAGTGAGACGATAGCCTCCACTCCATCATCTACCTCTGCTTCACAACCGATCGACAGTACCTGCAAAACAACCAAGCAGCCCAACCTGCACCGACTGAGACTGCCCCCAAAGTCCACAGCCTGCATCAACCCAGCAGCCCCACCGACAGACCCACATACCAGCCACCGATAAACAAGACCCAACCAATAACCTGCCGACAAACCCACTCAACTCCAAACCATCCTGCGGAAGACATCTTGCTTTCACCGAGGAGATAATAAAGTCCCTCCCGGGAGAACTCAATACATTGGACGGTACTTTTATCCTATAGAAACTCATCGCCTTCCAGTAATTTTTTGAACTGCTCCTTCTCGGTTTCACCAAAACCATTCCTTGAGAACCGAAGTTTCGTGAGTGAACCGAACCAGACCAGCCGACTGCCCAAAACCAACTGATTGCTTTTATTCCATCTACCAGCGAACATATACACACTAAATAGTAGCACCGACCATTCTAACATCACCGACATATACAAAGTAAATAGCTAGCATCGACCAGCAGCCCAAACAACCCAAACCAGAACCCAGTATTGCCTCAGCCCATTAAACATATACTAAACCCACCCACTGTTATATCTAGGATTTTTTATGAGGGGTTGTTGATTTGCTCTTGATGCAGTAGATCACTTATTTATATATTTTGGATTTCTGGGCACCGTGACTTGATTATTTGGGAGTTTTTTGGACCTTCCCTATTTGTCGCTACTGTTCGACTGAAGGTATATTGTTCTCCCTTATTTTATTCCTCTATTTATCTTAGAGTTATTTTTCTGTCACGGGTGCCCTAGTATTGTTGTTGATATGACTACTACTGAGGGACTTGAGAACCCTACTGTTGACACCTCTACCGTTGAGACATCTATGGGTACTTCCACTTTTATGTTTGACCAGTATACAGTGCCTACTAGCACAGTTGCATTACCAGCATTACCGGGCATGATCTCTCAAAAAGTTACGGCACAATTGTTGAATGGTCGTAACTTCGCTGAGTGGTCACGCTCATTCCAGCTTTTCTTAGGCCGTGTAGGGAAGCTTGGTTGGCTGACGGGATCTCACCCAAAGCCAGCTGATGCCGACCCTGGATATTCTGCATGGTTCTCTGAAAACTGTGTCATTCTTGGATGGTTATTTGGCTCAATGGAGCCCTCTGTTTGCAGGATCCACCAGTTTCATAGCTCTGTTCCGAAGCTATGGAGCGCATTATCAGAGATGTATTCTCAGTCAGGACGGGGAGTTCGTGTTTATGAGCTTTCTCAGGAGCTCTCATATGCTCGGCAGGGAGATATGACCGTTTAGGATTATTATGGCTATTTGACCCAGCGCTGGCTTGAGTATGAGTCTCTACGTCCTCTTGCTGCTATTCCGAAGATAGAGCCCGAGGGAGCAGCATTCTTGCATACTCGAGAGTAGGAGGATAGGATTCACAAGTTCCTTATGGGGCTTCGTGATGAGTTTGAGGGACCTCGTTCTCAGATCTTGTCGATGTTGACACTTCCTTCTCTTTATGAGGTGTATGGGATGATTGAGCAGCATGAGCGTCGAGTCCGTATTGCATCACTTCCAGTTGCAGCTTTGACTCCTTCGATTGACCAGATGGCCCTTGCAGCTGCTGTAGGGTCCCGTTCAGGATCCTTAGTCAGGGATGGGCAACGCTCAGACCAGCGCCGTCAGGGCGCCCCAGATCAGCGCAGACGGGGGGATTCCCGTCAATGTGATTATTGTGGCCGACCAGGACATCTCAGGGCTACTTGCTGGAAGCTCCATCCAGAGCTTAAGCCACCTTCTCGCAGCCGTACTGTTGCTATTGCTGAGGTACCACCGCCCACTACCGCCACTCCTGCTACTGCTCCTCCTTGGCAAAGTGATATGGATGCTATCACTTCCCGATTAGATATACTTATGTCTGCTCTGACTTCTCAGAGTCTGACTACTGCTGTTGTCACCACTACAGGTATATCTCGTGCCTTTCACGCTTGTGCCAGTTCATCTCCCCTTTGGATGTTGGACTCGGGTGCGAATGGTCACATGACAGGTGAGGCCCATCACTTCACCACTTTTGACGAGCCGTTACATACACAGGTTCAGTTAGCAGATGAAACACATGCCCCTATTGTTAGTAGGGGTACAGTCCGTCTCCCAGATGGCCTTACATTACATTCGGTTTTTCATGCGCCAAAGTTGGCCATGAATCTATTATCTGTACATCAGTTAGCCAGAGATTTTCACTGTGCGGTTGTATTCTTATCTGATTCGTGTTATTTGCAGGACCTGAGTACCAGGAGGATTATTATCAAGGGACATGAGAAAGATGGACTGTATTATCTTGGCAATCCATCTCCAGTTTCACCAATTCCTTCACCTGCACCTGCTTTGTCTTTTTCTGTTCCTAGCTTGCATGCTAGTATTTTACCTAGTAGTTGTCGTTATGATTTTTCGTCACAAACTGTTCAATTGTGGCATGACCGTTTTGGACATACAAATTTTAAATATTTATGTATGTTGTTTCCTGCTTTGAGTAATGCTTGTGTTGGTGGTAAACTTGATTGCGTTATCTGTTCCCTATCAAAACATGTTAGGGCCAATTATATTCCTCGCATGCACCAGTCACCCAAGCCATTTGACCTAATACACTCTGATATTTGGGGACCCTCTCCCGTTACTGCTCTGTCAGGTGCCAGATATTATGTGACATTTATAGATGATCATACCCGTTGTACTTGGGTCTACCTTTTGCATAGGAAGTCTGATGTGCTCCCTATAATCACTCAGTTTTTACAGATGATTAAGACACAATTCGATGTCATTGTTCGTGCTCTTCGTTCGGATAATGCCAAAGAATATGTGTCTGATGCTTTAGTGTCTCACCTTTCTTCTCAGGGTATCCTTCAGCAACTCACTTGTCCATATACTCCTGAGCAAAATGGTGTTGCTGAGAGAAAAAATAGGAGTTTGATAGGGATGGTACGTTGTCTACTTAGAGGCATGAGGGTACCAAAATCTTATTGGCATTTTGCTGTTTTGACTTCTACCTTTCTGTGCAATCGTACGCCGAGTCGTGTTCTTCAGCATAAGGCTCCCTTACAGGTCTTATTTCCTGAGCGGACACTTTTTCCGGTCCCCCCTCGTGTTTTTGGATGCACATGTTTTGTTCAGGATCGGTCTCCTACTCGTCATAAACTTGATGATAAAGCGATTCGTTGTATCTTTGTGGGCTATTGTCATCAATCTAAGGGGTATCGATGTTATGATCCTATTAGGCGTCGTATGTATCACAGTCTAGATGTTACCTTTCTTGAGCATATTCCTTATTTTCCTTTCAGTCCTTTGTCTGCCCCTCCAGTTGATGATACTCCATTTGATTTTCCATTACCACAAGAGTCAGAGTCATTGATCACTATCCCTACAGGGTCATCCGTTTTTCCTCCAAAGGAGTCACTCATCCCTGTCAGTACAGAGTTACCAGTCTCTCTTCCTTTGCAGGTGTATGCTCGTTGTCCTCGCTCTCATCACCCTGCTGATATCCCCTCTACCTCAGGCGATGCAGGTAATACTTCTCAGTTTGTTGAGCATATTGATGCACCTGTTGTTAGTACTGATGAGATTACAGGTGCTGAGCCAGTTACTTTACCTGATAAGATATTATCAGTAGAGGATGGTGATTTAGGGCGTCGTTATCCAAGGCGTGATCGCCGTCCAGTTGATCGATATGGTTGGACCGCCAAGATTTTATATCCGATCTCTGCTTATGTTTCTTATGGTAATCTGTCTCCCACATTTTGAGCTTATACTATGGCCTTATCAGATACGCTGGTTCCTCGCTCTATTTCGGAAGCTATGCGGGAGCTCCAGTGGATTCTTGCCATGCAGACAGAGATGGACGCTCTTCAGCGTAATCATACATGGGATCTTGTCTCCTTACCTTCAGGGGTGAAGCCTGTTGGCTGTCGCTGGGTTTACACCCTGAAGTTTCTTGCGGATGGTACTATTGATCGTTACAAGGCTAGACTTGTGGCGAAGGGCTTTACTCAGGTACCAGGTCGTGATTTTGGTGCTACATTTGCCCCTGTGGCAAAATTGACTACTGTTCGGTTAATTATTTCTCTGGCTGCGGAGTACTCTTGGCCTCTTCATCAATTAGATGTGAAGAATGCGTTTTTTCACGGTGATCTGGACGAGATTATTTCTATGGATGCACCACCGGGCTTTCGTGGTGAGGGGGAGTATGCTGGAAAGGTATGTCGACTGCGTAAGTCTCTTTGTGGCGAAGGGCTTTACTCAGGTACCAGGTCGTGATTTTGGTGCTACATTTGCCCCTGTGGCAAAATTGACTACTGTTCGGTTAATTATTTCTCTGGCTGCGGAGTACTCTTGGCCTCTTCATCAATTAGATGTGAAGAATGCGTTTTTTCACGGTGATCTGGACGAGATTATTTCTATGGATGCACCACCGGGCTTTCGTGGTGAGGGGGAGTATGCTGGAAAGGTATGTCGACTGCGTAAGTCTCTTTATGGACTGAAACAGTCGCCACGAGCCTGGTTCTCTCGCTTCAGTGATGTAGTCATACGATTGGGGTTCACCAGGTGTCATTCTGATCATACCTGCTTTATTCGACGGAATACTTCTGGACAGTGTGTCATCCTTTCTGGTATATGTTGATGATATTATTATTACTGGTGATGATGTTTCTGGGACTGCGCAGGTCAAGATAGACCTTGGGAAGGCATTCGATGTGAAGGATCTTGGATTTCTGCGATACTTTCTTGGGATTGAGGTTGCCCGTAGAAGCAGAGGTATTGTTCTTTCTCAGAGAAAGTATGTTTTGGATCTTCTTTCAGATACTGGGATGTTGGGGTGCAAACCGGCATTATCACCTATGATTCCAAACCTGAAGCTTACTGCTGAAGGTGAGGAGTTGAAAGATCCGACAGTTTATCAAAGATTGGTAGATAGACTTATCTACTTAGCCAATACTAGGCCGGACATTTTATTCGCAGTCAGCTGAGTTAGTCAGTTCATGCATAGGCCATGTCAGCCTCATCTTGATGCAGTTTATCATATTCTTCGGTACCTCAAGTCTTGTCCTGGACTTGGGTTGTTTTATGCATCAGGATCTCAGACCGGTTCTCTAGCCTGTTATTCAGATTCAGATTATGGGGGAGCATGTGATGGTCGATCTACTACGGGTTTCTGTGCTTTTCGAGGGACTCATCTTATCTCTTGGAAGAGCAAAAAGCAGGCAGTTGTCTCCCGCTCGTCCGCAGAGGCAGAGTATCGGGCATTGGCACTTGGCACATGTGAGATTATATGGCTACGATCGATTCTTGACGAGTTGGGTTTTTCAGTGACCTCTTCATCCACATTATATTGTGATAATCAATCTGCTATTCAGCTCGCTTCTGACTCTGTACTACATGAGAGAACGAAGCATATAGAGATCGATGTTCACTTTCTTCGGGAGAAGGTCAGCAGTGGTCTTGTTACTCCATCGTTTGTGGGGACCAGTGATCAAGTTGCGGATGTTTTTACCAAACCTGTCACTCTGTCTATTCTTCGGGACTCCGTTGTCAAGCTTGGCTTAGTTGACATTTTTGCGCCTAGCTTGAGGGGGAGTGTTGGAGTATAGATAGTCTAGGTTTATTAGGATTTCTTTTCCCTTTTTTACCCTTACTATGATTTTTATATTTTGCCTAAACTACAAGGATGTTTAAGTCACTCTGTATTATTTTTGGATATATATACGGGGTTCTACTCTTAATTTGAGTATCCCTTTTCATTCACAACTATCTCAAGTAAGATAAAGCAATATAACTAGTAATGATCAAGTATGCTGTAAGATACAACCGCCCTTTACAATAATCTCCATAGCATCCCAAACATTCTAAACAAAAAATCAGAAAACTAGCTACCCCCAAAACAAAGATGTTCATTGATAGACAAAAACTCAAAATCAATAGTGAAATCTACATACAAATATACAAATCTATGCATATTGTGGTGAAAAAAATACAGAAAAAAAAAATTCGATTCGGGTTTGTGATGTACAGATCCATGTAGATCTATGCATATATATACATATCTATGTATATATATACATATATCTATAAAAAAAAAAAAGGGATTACACTTACAGCGAAAGGAAGGTCCTTCTTTGTCGATCTGAGTGGAAGTCCCATCTTCTTGAGATAAGCTGAGACAGAGAAGAGAAGAGAAGAAAGGGCCTGAGACAGAGAAAAGAAGAGAGTAGCTGGGGGAGCTCGTTGAGACAGAGAATAGAGGGGCTGAACGAAGAGAAGAGAAGAGAAGAGAGTAGATGAGCGAAGAAAAGAGAGGGTTGATTCGTATGTGTTGTGTGAGGGCCAAACAGACCACATATTTATACTATGTCATATGAAGTGATATTCTGTGGCTAACAGGACTCGAAGTTGAGACCTCATTTATACCAATCTTGCGTGTTTTGTGTTTCGCGTGTTTCCTAGAATAAAAATTTTTTGTTCCCATATTTTTTTTTTGTTTTCAGAAAATTAATATAAAACAAAAACAAAAACAATATCCAAATATGTTTTTGTTTTCATTTTTGACAAAAATTAAAAATAAAAATACAAAACACAAGACAAAGATAGAAAACAAACGACCCTTAAGTTTTTTTTTTCGTTCAACAGTCAAAAGTGTTCGAACCATCTTACACATATCTCGATTAATCCTTTTATGGTCTGGTCTCAAGGGGTTACTAAAATTCAAACTTAGAATGTCTAAGTTTATAATTCGTCTCTATTACTACTTGTACTATCCCTCGAAATTAAAGTATAGGTTTCACTTTGACAAGTATGAATCATAAACCAGTTGGACCATCAAACCGGTTTATTGAATAAATCGACAATAATCTCTAACTTATACACCAACTTATAAATAGGTTGAGTATCAATTGAGTAAACTTTGACATCACATAAATTACACAATGTAAAAACAACACACAATTGATTCAAAACTCTATAAATCCGTCACGCTGGGGATTAAACAAGTTTTCAGGAGATATGATTTAGAAACAATGTGAGACATTAATATGACTTGATTATTGTTTAGACATGAAATATCAAATCTTATGAATATTCAATGTATCGATATCTGGATGCATTGAGGAGATGTCACATGGCAGAATCTGAAGAAATGCGAGAGATGATCAATCACAACAATACTTAAAAAGAAAAAATAACTAATTGAAAGTTACCAAGTTAGCTAACTATCGATGGAGACAAAACAGTCGAGGACAATGGCTATAAAAGGCACGTAGTGGAAAAGATGAAAGATACATTCAAACCCTTATAAGAATCACGATATGGTCATTTTTAGGAGTAATTTTAAGAGACAGTTATTGCTGCATTCAAGGTTGTTATTTAGTTTTTTCTGCAGTCGAAGTCTCTTCAATTGAATTAATAAAGGAATCATCTTTTATTAGTTCTTTGCACTGTGTGTTTGTTCATTAAATTCATCCAAGTAAACTTTGAAACAAGACATTTGTACCTCTCACAGACAATCACCTGAGAACTATCTGTCGATTGGAATCTTTCTGTCAATAACAAAAGAATTTTTAGAGGAATAACTATGTTAGAAAATTCACATAAAATTCTCACATCTGTGAAAAACAATAATAGAGAAAATACACGCCAAAGATAAACAATCATACGCACAAAACAATATTTACGTGGTTCGATAATTTGCATACGTCCACGAAACTGCAGGGATTTCACTATTATCAAGAAAGAATACAGAGCGACCGTACTGAACCAATTAAACCCTAATCACCAAAAACAATAGGTTTTATATGTACTGCACCAGGCTACAAAGTGGGCCAAAAAATCTTCACTCCATGTACTAACCTAAGAAAATTTTTCATTAAAAACCACGCAACATTATTTTGGGTCAGGTTATTATCCGGATCAACACAAAAAACTAGATTTCACAAAAGCCCAACAAACTATAAAATTTTTAACATACGAAAAGAGAGTTAAAGATTAATATGATACCAGAATTTGTAATTTCCTGAGGGCCACATGAGGTTTGTGAAACTCTGAACTCCTTCGAGAGTTGTTGCATTTTCAATCCCTAAGCTCTCATGGATTTGAATATTAGGCAATTCCCCAACATAGCCAATATAAAGCTTTTCACAAATGTTCTGTGCTTTAATTTCTGTGTGGAGATCAAACAACTCTTTCACGACACCAAGGACTCTATTGTTGAGCTCTGAAGAAACTTTATCATAAACTGCCACGAAACTGCCGTACTCTTCCAGGGCACCACGGACGTCGCTGCATGTGGAGAGCCACGAGACTGTACTAGGCTTCAAGGTTTTTTAAGTGAAATCTATGACAGGAAGCTTGGGGAGAGTTTGGGAACCCATGAACTTTGACTACTTTTTTTACACTTAGCAAGCTAAGATGATCAGAAGATATCATCATGGGACATCATATATGATGAGTAACTCTAAGAGGTAACAGAGATCAGCCGTAAAACGAAATGTCTTAAATTTGAATTTTAGCAACTTTTAGACCGTGAGATTTTTCTTTCATAAATACCATAATTTCAACGTTAATGGCCTGTTTTTGATTAAATTGAAAATGGAATTAGTCGAAATGCACGTAAGTTGGTTTGGATACACCTGACCAATAACTTAAAAAAAACATCTTATATAATGTGTCCCTCAATGATGTGGGAAGTTGAAACTTTGGACAGTTGGGATTTTTAAAATTGAGATGATCAAAATGTGATGATTTCATGAGACAAGTAAACGCAAACGGAGAAGTTCAAAATCATACTAATGTGCTTGACTCAATTAGGGCCGGCGGATACAAATTGGGGCCTAAAACAAAAATTTTAATGAAGATGTATTTATTTTAACATAAGTTTTAAAATTTAAATCATTATACAATAAAAATATCAAGAAAAAAAAAACCTTTTTTTAATGCAAAACTTGCATATAATAGCAATAATCAAATGAATCACATAAATAAAGTAAAAAGGGAGTGAACGAAGTTAGCCACGGATGATGAGCCAAGTAATTAAGCGATTCCAAATGATTCAGAAAAATACTTATCAAAATCACCAAATTTTTTTGTTACCTATCTATCTATATACTACTTCTACATATGGCGAAATTACACTTTATCCCCTTAAATTATTACTTTTATTTTACTTTGTACTCTCAATTATAAATTTTATCATATTACACTTAAAAGTATCAATTTTATTTCATATCACTTCAATAGATAACAACTGTCAATTTTTTGATGATAAATATGAATATGAGTAGTCTGTACTGCCAATAAACAACTGTTTATTGCACATGTACAGGTCAAAAATCAAGAAAAATATTCATTCATAACTTTGCTCTTCTTAACCTTCAAATTTTCTTCCTCTAACTAACCTTTTTTTTCTCCTAATAATCATTTAGTTGCAAAAGAGGTAAAATAAAGTGATACTAGACACTTAACGGAAAGTTTTTTGGAGTTTTCCTCCCTCCTTTGACATATTTTTAAACTTATCGTTATCTATTGAATTGATATGAAATAAAATTGATACTTTAAAGTGTAATGTAAGAAATTTTATAGTTGATGGTACAAAGTCAAATAAATATAATAGTTCAGAGGTAAAGTATAATTTACTCTCTAAATATAAACATCCACAAAAAAAATTAAATTCCTAATTTACCCCTAAATAAATGCATAAACATAAGATTATCCAACCATTTCATTTGGAACAATGACAAGAAGTCGGCCATGTATCCAAAATCACTTGATTACAAACCCGTCATCCAATTTTTCGGCTTAGAGATGCTTTTTGATATAATCAAGAAGCATGGAGATGCCTCTTTCGGGTTTGAATTGTTGTGGTTGTCTTAGGGGCCAAAGGCGAAATTTACAAGTGAGGCATATTTAATATTTAATGAAATACTATATATATTTATGGTACCACAAAAATACCTAAGATTGAGTTCGACAACGCAGATCATGCCACTTAGGGCAGGAGCATCTATGTTATTTGCAAACCTAGACCTCAAACCTCAACTCTCTATATCTACACCTCAAGGAAAGCTGTGCAAAGGATAGCTAGATCCTGCCAAATATCTCCTTTGTAGTAATAATTACTCAGCAGACGCGAGTCTCGTAATCGCCCCAACATCCACTACGTTGTGTAATAAAAGTGACCACTGTAGGGGAGGGGCGAGGAATTCGCCTCAGATCAAGCTAGACCCAGTTATAACTATAAATAGGAAGCAAATCCCTCGAAAAATAATAACAAGTCATTGTAGCCTTACCAAGACACTTTCTGTAAATTTCATAGTAATCAATACATTTAGGAGCAAGAGACTCCATTGAGAGTGGATTAACCAAACTCCCGAATTTATAAACTACTATAACACTCTGTGATCACCTACTTATTCCCAAATTCTATTCCCAAGAGTCTTGGAGCTCAGACTGAACCGAATTTAATTGTTCAGTACACTTTATATTCACATTACTGCTCAATCGTGTTAATAACATTATATATATGTTATTAAATTATATTCATTCTAATTTTTTTATTTTTTGAGATGAAGAAATACGAATTTTATGTTTTTCTGTTCACAAAATATAGATCCAATTTCTCTTTCAAGCGTCATTTCTTTTTATGAGACCAAAACAAATATGTCATTTTCTTGTAATGTTTGATTATGATGATTGGCTCCACAAATTCAATAATTGACACAATGTTAGAATCATAAAAAAATAAAAAATCATTAGATTTTTGTGTTGTACCAATTATGGAAAATACAAATTTCATGAATCAAATCGAAACTTTTTCTAAGAATTGAGGAAAACAATCTAGAAAAGACATGGGCTACGTAACAAATCATAAAACGCGACATTACAAAAAGTATCAAAATGGACATCTATTTTCGAAACAATCCAAAATAAATCAAAAATGAGGCCCACTGCTATATTCACAACAAAGGGCTTGCTCTTTTAAAAACTTTTGGAGGGACCTTTCAAAATATTGAGCCTTTTTTTTTTTTTTGAAGTTGTCTCGCGATTCTTAGACTTGGGGCCAAAAATTCAATAGAGCGGATCATTAGACTGTTTGAGCATAGTCTGTTCTGTCTACAAAGATTGTTTGAGATATGACTAAAAATTCATTCAAGCTCAGTTCACCATGTTTTTTTTCCAAACCCGATCTCATCGTATTTGATTAAATAAATTGAACTCAAACTTGTAATCAAATGGTAAGTGGGGATTGGGTAATCTCTCACCACTGAGAACTCATTTTAAAGAGACAGACAAAGACTGTTGCATATAATACCATCACACATCCGGCCCCAGGTACCCAAAAAAACACCAGAACCATTACAATACACATTTCCTACAATTCATGCTAGTCTTCCTTGATACCAACCTCTCTCCAAGAACAATCCCATCTCTCATTTATATTCTTCCACCTCATGAATTGAACTCTGCAGTAACCTCTCATCTCACACCAATTACTGTCTCCTTGCTCACTGCTCAGCCATGTCTCAGCTCAACAACAACAACAATGGAGGTTCTGTGCATTGCTTTTCACCAACTCGGCGTGGCCTGACGCCTGGAAAGGCAGCCATACTTGCAATGGGGAAGGCATTCCCAAGCCAACTCATTCCTCAGGAATGCTTGGTGGAGGGCTACATTCGCGACACAAAATGCAACGACTTGGCTATTAAGGAGAAACTCGAGCGCCTGTGTAAGAAAAGCTATATCCATATAATAAAACATCTAGCATCTTGAATTTATATATAAATATAAATACATTTCTTGTTTAGCATGAATTCCTTGGTGTTGGCAACGGGCCAGGCCTGCGGGTTGTTGACCATGTCGGGCCAACCCACCCAATGAAATTGTGGCCCACAACAACCAAGTGTGGATGATGTGTCTTTAGTGGGTTATATACTAATCCACTCCTAACGGCCCTTTTTTTATTTTTTCCAAAATTTGTCCTAACTTTTATATTTTTGAATTTTGATCAGCGCACCATCGGGCCTCCTTCTGGGGCTTTAATCGGGTTAGTCCATTGAGCCTAACAGGCCAAAAATCGGGCTACATCCTACCCGTTGGGTTATTAGGAGGCAACCCATGGCCCGACAGCTCTCCAGGCTAACAGGCCAATCCATGAGCTACGGGCTTTTGCAATGATCTCACTGTTCACTGTTCTTTGAAAGAGATACCAAAATGCAATGATATCATGCATTTTATTCTTTTGCTAGGTAAAACCACAACTGTGAAAACCAGATACACAGTCATGTCCAAAGAGATCCTAGATAAGTACCCAGAGCTGGCAACAGAGGGCTCACCAACAATCAAACAAAGGCTTGACATAGCAAATCAAGCAGTTCTGGAGATGGCCAAAGAAGCAAGCCTTGCTTGCATAAAAGAATGGGGAAGACCAGCTGAAGACATCACACACATCGTCTACGTTTCCTCAAGTGAGATCCGATTGCCTGGTGGTGATCTTTATCTCGCCACTGAACTCGGGCTGAGGAGCGATGTTGGCCGTGTGATGCTCTACTTCCTAGGCTGCTATGGCGGTGTCACGGGGCTTAGAGTTGCCAAGGACATTGCTGAGAACAACCCTGGCAGTCGTGTACTGTTGACAACTTCTGAAACTACCATCCTTGGTTTTCGCCCACCGAACAAAGCAAGGCCTTATGACCTTGTTGGTGCTGCACTTTTTGGTGATGGAGCTGCAGCAGTTATAATTGGCAGTGACCCAATAACAAAGAAAGAGTGCCCTTTCATGGAACTGAACTATGCAGTTCAGCAATTCTTGCCAGGGACACACAATGTAATCGATGGTCGTTTATCAGAAGAGGGCATATATTTCAAACTTGGCAGAGACCTCCCTCAGAAAATCGAAGACAATATCGAAGAATTCTGCAAGAAACTGATGGCAAAGGCAGGATTGAAGGAGTTCAATGATCTGTTTTGGGCGGTTCATCCCGGTGGACCTGCAATACTAAACCGTTTAGAGAACACTCTCAATTTAAGAACTGATAAACTAGAGTGTAGCAGAAGGGCATTGATGGACTTTGGGAATGTAAGCAGCAACACAATCTTCTATGTCATGGAGTACATGAGGGAGGAATTGAAGAGAGGAGGGGAAGAATGGGGTCTTGCTCTAGCATTTGGACCAGGCATTACATTTGAAGGCATCCTCATTCGCAGCCTCCAGTGAAAAGCATCTAGCAGTTTATATGCATTGGTTACATTTACATTTATATACTAAGGACTACCATCAGCTAGGAAGTGACACAAATGCTGCTTGAAGTTGGTAAAGGAATGGAACCCAAAAATTTTCTGCTAAACTAAATGTGTTCGGGTATTGATGTGTAATGTTGCATTTGTATTACATTTTAATCAATAACCTTATAATAAAATCAATCTACACGACGAGT